CGTCTTTAAGATTACAATGACGCTTTCAGAATCATGTTTGATTGAAAATTAACGTCTGTACAGAGGCTTAAAGTACATAACTTTTGGAGCCTCCGCTATAAACAAATAGAATTGTGCGAAAACTATTGCACCTACAGCGCCCACTTTTGGCACACTTTTAAAGTATGACAAAACCTTCAACATGTCATAGGTTTTATAAAATTTTAACAATAAATGCGATAGTTATAAACAAATTAAAAAATGGGCACTTTTCTTGTCTTTTTGCAATAACAAGAGACAGAGATAAATTATTAATAAATAGAATAATAAGAAGTGGCCCTAAATATGATCCTTGGGGTACTACAGTTGTAAAATAAATATTGAGACAGTACGTTTCACATCTTGCGAGTGTAAGAATCTTTTGCGCCAAAGGTTTAGTGACCTTGATATATTTATTTCAGGTCATTAAGTACTTTGGATTTTTAGGTTAATCTCACGAGAAAGCGAATTTATATTAAATTTTTAAGGTGTCGCATTAAGAGACAGTCCTGTGGGTTTGGCAGCCTACATCCTGGAGAAATTTACGACCTGGACAAATCTCGCTTGGAAGGACTTAGACGACGGAGGACTGACGAAAAAGTTCTCTTTGACCAACCTTCTGGATAACGTGATGATATACTGGGTGACGAGATCTATTACCACGTCGATGAGATTGTATTCTGAGACCTTCAACCAGGCCAGCTATGATTCACAATTAGAGAAGTATGTGTTAATGTTAATAAAGTTATCAATCTAATTATTTTTTTGGTTTTGGTCAGCTGTTTGAACAACGTACCAGTGAGAGTTCCAAGCGCCTGTGCCAGATTTTCCAAGGATTTACTTATCCATCCGGAAAGTATACTTCGAGATAAATTCAAGAATCTCATCCACATTTCGGATCTGGAGGGGGGCCATTTCGCCGCGTTCGAAGTTCCTAAGACTCTGGCTGATGATGTATATGCGTTCATTGATAAACTCGAAACGTTGCAAAGTAGCAAATAGTTTTTAATGTTGTTATTTTTCAATAAATTAATCTCCTACATTTTTTTTTTCGAATTTCAGTTATTAACAGTCACTAAAATTCGTCAAAATTGGAACATTTCATGCGCAATTTATAGAAACTAGGTTTGTTTCTAAATATTCTATAAATTACTAAAACAATACAATATTTTCTATGATAAATAAATCAGTGGTAGATATTTTACCACACCCTGTTGCAAACAACAACACTTTTCCCACTTTACATACTTAATATAGATAGCGGTGTCTTGAAATCTATATATGTATACCCCGCCAAATCATTTGGCCAAGGTAGTTATTATATCTCCAAATATACAACATAAAAATGATCAGTAAAGTTAAGCGTAGTTGTTGTGAGTCGAGCAAATTTCGAGACGGGTGTTACAAGAGTGCTAGTAATAGCGTCGATCGCGTTCGTCTTAGTGGCAGCTTACATGAAAACGAAATTTTTATTCGAAGTACCGCCTCTACCTCAGCTAGAAGATACTTGGTGGGGTCCTAGAGACCCATCCAAGGAGGATGGCGAGATTAGGCCCTTCAAAATCAATGTTTCTGATGAGGTAATATGTAAAACGTATGTAAAAAACACAAAATTTTCTTTCAATTCGATTAAAAGCATATTTTGTCATTAACAAGTAGCAGTCTAATGTTTTGATAAGCGAGTTAGTTTAACAATTTTCCAGTTCAAAAGATAAGCGGGATATTTGTTAAGTATTTATTGTCACAAAATAAAAGTAACCGAGTTTCAGCTAGTCTGCGGCTTTTCTTAAATAGTACAGAGAATGTAAAAATTAGTCCTCTTGACAAGTTCCAACACGTCTTTACTTGTTCAGGCATGTAAAGACTGTATGGATTCAGGAATTCATGTATGCATAAGTGAGAAAGGATACAAATTATGTTGCTTTTGCTTTATATTGCTTTCTCAAGACATTCAATAATTATTCATACAAAGCTCTTGCTAGAAATAAAAAGAAATTCATCAGTTCAGTAATTTTCATTTACTAACAGTGGTTTATCAAAATGAATTATTAAAAGCGAGAATTGACGAATGATCAGTCAAAATCTCATTTTTACCAGGTCATATCGATGCGATACGTTATCTAAATGATATAAATAAAGATAAACAAAAGTATGTAGTGTTAATAGCAACCAATAAAATTTAAATAAACATTTTTATATAGCTGTTTATAATTTAACTGATTCTTGTATTACAAACACCTTATGTATAAGTAGGTACTTTTTGCATAAAATTCTCAATGTTATAATAATACTCTATAAATTGTCCTATTTTAATATATTTAATATTGATAGAAATATGATGAAACGTCAAAAACTACATGATTTATGAAATTGAACAACAAAAAAATTATATTAATAAACAAATAATAATAATAATTGTATTTTATATATTTAAAGAATATATGTCGCAATTGTTCATGTTCATTAAAAGCTTCTTCCAGATACTCAAAGACCTGCAGCAAAGGCTGGCCAACGCCCTACCCTTCCAGGAACCTCTGGAAGGCGTGAAGCAGCACTACGGCATTAACACTCACCTTCTGAAGAACATCGTCGACTTCTGGAGAACGAAATACAACTGGAGGGAGAGGGAGAAGTTCCTTAATCAGTACCCCCAGTTCACGGTGAGCGTACAGGGGTTGAGGATCCACTATTTGCACGTCAAACCAAAGGAAACCAAGGGGGTGAAGGTGTTGCCCTTACTTTTGCTCCATGGCTGGCCTGGGTCGATCAGGGAGTTCTACGAGATCATCCCTCTCCTGACCACCCCCCAGAAAGGAAGAGATTTCGTTTTTGAGCTTATAGTTCCTTCCTTACCAGGTTAATGTTTACATATGCCATTTCATTTATCCATCCAAATCTATTTCGTTCTTAAAATATAAGTTAATTTAAATGCTGCATAAAAAAATCTGTAAACGTTTGATTGTTTCTTCTGTTTTCTTCAAGGTGGCTAAAATGATGAAAATCCAAACGCAGAATTACTTGAAATTCTCTAATGAAAAATTAAAACATTTTTTTATTGGAGATAACACTATTCCTTCACTTTGCAGGCTACGGTTTCTCAGAGGCAGCAGTTGGACCGGGGTTAGGCGCTATCCAAATGGCTGTCGTCTTCAAGAACTTCATGGCTCGATTGGGCTACGAGAAATACTACATCCAAGGAGGCGATTGGGGTGCTGCCATAGTCCAACACGTGTCTACACTCTTTCCAGAGAGGATAATAGGGGTACATTCGAATATGTGCGTTGTCAACAATGCCCTGTCAAATTTGAAGTGGTTTTTGGGTAGTCTCTATCCTTCCCTGATCGTCAGCAAAGAATTGGAACACAGAGTGTATCCTTTGTCGGAGAAGTTTTCCTTTTTTATGCTGGAGTTTGGGTACATGCATCTACAGTGCACCAAGCCCGACACTGTAGGTATGTACGTTCAAAATAATTAAATTAATTAATACTTATTAAATATTTTTTTAGGGGTTGCATTAAGGGATAGCCCTGTGGGTTTGGCAGCCTACATTTTGGAGAAGTTCACGACCTGGACGAACCCAGATTGGAAAGACCTAGACGACGGGGGGCTGACGAAAAAATACTCTCTGACCAATCTTCTGGATAACGTGATGATATACTGGGTGTCTAGGTCTATTACTACCTCGATGAGGCTCTATGCTGAAACCTCAAATAAAGCTCAGAGCAGTATTCCAATAGACAGGTGCGTTATTAATACTTATCAATTTTTTTAATATTTACATTGTTTATTTTTCCATTATAATCAATGATGCCTCTATCCGAATAAGAAGGTACTTTCGTGACCTAATACAAAACTAATATTTTTCAGAATACCAGTGCAAGTACCAAGTGGTTGTGCTAGATTTTCTCATGAATTATTTATCCAACCTGACTTCGTATTAAGAGGCAAATACAACAATTTGATTCATATTTCGGATCTCGAGGGAGGTCACTTCGCGGCATTCGAAGCTCCTGAAGTCCTCTCTGAAGACGTTTTTGCCTTCACGGAAAAAGTGGAGGCTTTGAGAGAGTCCAGCAAATGAATGACTGTGTTTTGTTGTTGATAGTGTTTGTTTTTGTATATTTTTCTCAATAAACAAATATCTTACAAATTATTTTCAATTACGCTCAAAAGATTTTGTTGTGCTGTTCCATTAGTTCAATCCACTTCACGTTTCTTTAAATATCTTCAACATCCCGTACATGAACGATAATTCTCCTATCTTAGATTTCATGCTATGACGCGTTGTGTATTTTGAACTCGACACTTATATCGCACCAGCCAAGGTCATTGCCATATCTTCAAATAGACAGCAAAAAAATAGTGGTACAGTAAGCGTACTAGTCGAGAGCCGACATGGGTGTTACAAGGGTGTTAGTAATAGCCTCGATTGGGGTTGTGTTAGTGGGAATTTACTTGAAAGGGAAATCTCTGTTCGAAGTACCGCCTCTACCTCAGCTAGAAGATACTTGGTGGGGCCCCAGAGATCCCTCGAAGGAGGATACTGAGATTAGACCCTTCAAAATCAATGTTTCTGATGAGGTTTGTAGGAAATTCAGGAAGTCCAATCATCAGTGATGTGAGTCAAATATAATTGTACAGTAAACTTCTTTCAGATTCTCATAGACCTGCAGCAAAGGCTGGCCAACGCGCTACCTTTCCAGGAGCCCCTGGAAGGTGCCAAGCAGCATTATGGTATTAACACCCACCTCCTGAAGAACATCGTCGACTTCTGGCGAACGAAATATAACTGGAGGGAGAGGGAGAAGTTCCTCAACCAGTACCCCCAGTTCACAGTCAGCGTACAGGGATTGAAGATCCACTACTTACATATCAAACCAAAGGAAACAGAGGGAGTAAAGGTATTGCCTTTATTGTTGCTCCATGGTTGGCCGGGGTCGATCAGGGAGTTCTACGAATTTATTCCTCTCCTCACCACCCCAGAAAAGGGGAGGGGTTTCGTTTTTGAGGTTATAGTACCAGCCCTACCAGTTAAGTTAAAATCTGTCATTGTTCTATTTAGTTATTATTATAACAATATGTTCTATATTGATGTTTTCCTTTACTTTGCAGGCTATGGTTTCTCAGAGGCAGCAGTTCGACCAGGGTTAGGCGCTATCCAAATGGCTGTCGTCTTCAAGAACCTCATGGCTCGATTGGGCTACCAAAAGTACTACCTCCAAGGCGGCGATTGGGGTGCTGCCATAGTCCAATACATGTCTACACTCTTTCCCGAAAAGATAATAGGAGTCCATTCAAATATGTGCTTTGTCAACAATGTCCTCTCAAATCTGAAGTTGTTTTTGGGCAGTTTCTACCCTTCGCTGGTCGTCAGCAAGGAATTAGAAGATAAGGTATATCCTTTGTCGGAGAAGTTTTCCTTTAATCTTCTAGAGACTGGGTACATGCATTTGCAAGCTACGAAACCTGACACTGTAGGTGTGTAGACAGATTTTAAATAATAAGAACTTGGACAGGATACCAAAAATGAAATACTTGTGACGTAGGAAGTAGCAATTAATGACAAAAATCTTTTCTTTAAGGTGTTGCACTGAGAGACAGCCCTGTGGGTTTGGCGGCTTATATTTTGGAAAAGTTTACAACGGGCACAAACCCCGAGTGGAAAGACTTGGATGATGGGGGATTGACGAAAAAATTTTCTCTCACCAACCTTCTGGATAACGTGATGATATACTGGGTGACTAGGTCATTCACCACCTCGATGAGGCTCTATGCTGAAACCTTAAACAAAGCTCATCGCGGTTTTGGAATAGAAAGGTACGTTTTTATTTATTTATTGTAATTTATTTCAATATTCCTCTATCTGAATTACGTTTTTCATGAAACTAGATGAATATTTTTCTTTCAGGATCCCTGTAGAGGTTCCAAGCGGTTGTGCTAGATTTTCTCATGAATTATTTATCCAACCTGACTTCGTATTGAGAGGCAAATACAGCAATTTGATTCATATTTCGGACCTTGAGGGAGGCCACTTCGCGGCGTTCGAGGCTCCCGAAATCCTCGCCGAAGACGTTTTTGCCTTCACGGAAAAAGTGGAGGCTTTGAGAAAGTCCAGCGAATGATTTCATAATGTTTGTTTTTGTTATCTTTTATTGTTCAATAAATGAATGTCTTACAAGTTAATTTTATTCAAAACCCATTTTAAATAATAATAATAATAAAGATCAGCAGTTGATTTGTTCTAGTCTTCTATTGTTTTTGTAAAAAATGTCTGTTTTAAATAAATATTTATTGAAAAATGTGGTTCGATCGTAGATTATTTTTCTACTGCCATAATTTCAACTGTTTTTATTTATCCACTTTATTTTTGTCATACGTTTCATTGTCTAATACATCTGGGAATTATATCTGAAATATTATTCTATTTATAATAAATTGTAACCTCCATCACCATATAATTATTTACAATTAAGAACAACAAAACTTCACTCACGTAAATGTACTTATTTCCCACCATAAAATTTCTGATATTTGGCCAAGGTCACTATCATATCTATCGTATCAAAAATAATTTAACAGAAAAACCGTCAACATGAGTATCAGTTCACAATAGAGCATAATTCAGGATGGGTCTAAAACGGGTGTTAGTAACATGGTCGATCGCAATTGTGTTAGTGGCAGTTTACATGAAAGGGAAGGTTTTATTCGAAGTACCGCCCCTGCCTCAGCTTGAGGAAACCTGGTGGGGTCCTAGAGACCCCTCGAAGGGAGACACCGAAATCAGGCCCTTCAAAATCAACGTTTCGGATGAGGTAACGGAAGAAGTTCCTTTTTTTTGCTTTTATATCACAGGAAACACAGAAAACATCTAGATTTTTCGATTAATGACCTCTTACAATTTTAACGGTTGCGCCCCTGTGTCTATAAATTCTGTTATCTTCACTTATTTGAAACATACATAAATATAACTTTTTTTATCTCAAAACAGGTCCATGAAATGTAAATGTTTATATAAAAATATACTCCCAAATTTGGATAATGGAAAAGTCCATCAATTTTTTTACTTTTAAATCGTAACAAAATGAAGGTCATGACAGCCGAGATCAAAATATGCGTGCTCATCTATCAACAGTGATTCGTCCAAATGATTTGTTAAAAAGACAATTAGAGATACGCTACATTCGAGCTGATAATACAATTAATTGACAAATGACTAGGCGAGATCACATTTTTCTCCAGTCATGTCGATACTCACGAGATTACGTAAGTTACATGATAAAATTGAAACAAACATTATTTCAATAATTTGAACGATAATGAGTAATACTCAGTGGCGTACCAACGGTTTTTAACGGGTAGCGTTTATAATGAAATTAATACTCGCCTTAAATTTTGTATTTGGTTACTTTTGTTAAAAACGAAATTTGGATTTCGAATTGTCAGTATAATAAAAAAATAAATGTTACAAATCGAACCATTTTTAGTAACCCACCAATAACTGTAATGAATTAATACAAGCTAGTGTACGTCATATATCTTTGAGAAACTTTATAATAAGTTATTTACTCCTATGAAGCAGTCCTGTAGCGACAGTTAACTTTAGTATACATTTTTAGGTCTGCATATAGCAGATATTTGACATTTGGATATGTAACGTCATTAATAAAGAGTGGAAACAATATGGGGCCCAGGATACAGCCCTGAGGTATTCCCAGGACTGAACATCGAAGATGTATTTCGCTAATAAATACGTAAAAGATCAAGATATCGTTGAGTAGTGGATGACAAAACCACGCTGACCTTTAAAATTAGATTTTGAGGATGATGATACAAAATTCGTAAATGATTTAATTTTTTTAGGCACTCAAAGATCTGCAGCGAAGATTAGCAAACGCCTTACCTTTCCAAGAACCCTTAGAAGATGTGAAGCAGCACTACGGTATGAACGCCAATCTCCTGAAGAACATCGTCGACTTCTGGCGAACGAAGTACGACTGGAGGGAGAGGGAGAAGTTCCTCAACCAGTACCCCCAGTTCACGGTGAGCGTACAGGGGTTGAGGATCCACTATTTGCACGTCAAACCGAAAGAAACCAAGGGAGTGAAGGTTTTGCCCTTATTGCTGCTCCATGATTGGCCAGGTTCGATCAGGGAGTTCTACGAGATGATTCCTCTGCTCACCACCCCTCAGAAGGGAAGGGACTTCGTTTTTGAGGTTATAGCACCCTCTATGCCAGTTAAGTTTCCCTCTTTATAGTTTAGTGCATAAGTATTGAAAGATTTAAGACAAAATTTTGATTTTCCAACTAATTTTATGTCGTCTTTGCTACATAGGCTACTATTGTATTGTTTGTTTTTTGCCAGCATTTTCAACAACATTCCGGTGGAAGTCCCAAGTGCGTGCGCCAGATTTTCCAACGAATTAATAGTCCATCCTGACTGCATCCTGAGAGACAAATTCATGAACCTCGTCCAGATTTCTGACCTCGAAGGAGGTCACTTTGCCGCATTCGAAGCGCCCGAAGCTCTAGCTGGCGACGTTTACGCTTTCGTGGAAAAAGTAGAAGCGCTGAGGAAGATCGACAAGTGATTTATTTTAGTCTTCTGTTGTTTTTTTGTAAAAAAAAATATGTTTCCAATAAAGATTTGTTAAGAAAAGTTGAAAAAAAATATTAATACCACCGAACATATTCAAAATTGTAGTTCTATTTTTCACTTTATAAGCTAATATTTTCATTCCTTCACTTTCTATCTCAATAAATTCAAAGTTCTATTGTTTTTTCGGTTTATTTTTGCCATACGTGTCGTTACGAGCCATCAGCGGAAGTAATGATAGGTATAAAACATCTGGGAATTATGTTTGGTGTGGCGTACTATTTATAGCAAATTTTATCCTCCGTAACCATACAATTATTAACAATTGAGAACAATAAAACTTCACTCATCCTTTCCTTATCATTATTGCGATCCGAATAGACCAAGCAAATTAAGTTTTTACTCGAAAAACGTCCTATCCGCTAGATTATTGTAAAATTGTCTAAAGGAACATAATACAAGACATCTCTCGTCTCGTGAGTCAAAAACTTTTATTAGCTAACTTTTCTATTTAAACAAATAAGTGAGGAAAACAGTTTTTTCACTTTGCAGGGAAAACCATCAATTTTAGCGAAAAGTGACTCTCAGACAGCTTATAGGGAGT